TGGAGAGAAGTTGATTCAGGAGAAAGTCATTAGTGCCGAAGAGTTAAAAAGTGAAATAGAGGGATATGATAAAATATTAGAAACTGGTTTTGCAGATGCGGCTAAAGAAAAGTCTATTAAAGTAAGTTTTTTAAAGTTTTTAAAAAATTGTTAATCGTTTTTATAACATTTTGTTTAAAGTATAAAGATTGGATAGATTCTCCCTGGTCGGGTTTCTTTGAGGGTCGTGATCGTACAAAAATTGCAAGTACTGGTGTTAAAGAAGAAACTTTAATACATATTGGCAATAAATTTGCCTCACCACCTCCTCCAGAAGCGAAGTTTGTAATACACAAGTAAGTTTTGTTCTCAGATTTCAATGTTGACATTTTGAAAAGATACATTTCCGATTATTGATTATTCAGTTTTAACAATACCTTATAAATAACTTTATTCATAATTTGTATCCACATTCAAATTATACAAAACACACAATATAACATACAATTTTCCAGAGGTATCGAACGCATTTTGCAGGCGCGTCAAGAAATGGTTCAAAATAAAATTGCCGACTGGGCTTTAGGTGAAGCGTTTGCTTTCGGCACTCTATTAAAAGAAGGCGTACATGTTAGACTCTCTGGCGAAGATGTAGAACGTGGAACCTTTTCGCATCGTCATCATGTTTTGCATCATCAAAATATCGATAAAGTTACTTATAATATGTTGCAACATCTATATCCCGATCAGGCCCATTATACTGTATGTAACAGTAGTTTATGTGAATTTGGAGTGTTAGGATTTGAACACGGTTATTCGATGTGTAATCCCAATTCTCTTGTTATGTGGGAAGGACAATTTGGTGACTTTTGTAATACCGCACAATGTATAATTGATCAGTTTATATCGAGTGGTGAAATGAAATGGGTACGACAGTCGGGATTAGTGTTACTCTTGCCTCATGGTCTAGAAGGTATGGGTCCGGAGCATTCCTCCAGTAGACCCGAACGTTTTCTGCAAATGTGCCATGATGACCCGGATACTTTGCCTAAGAGTTGTGAAAATGTAGCCCTACAACAATTACATGATATTAATTGGATTGTGGCAAATTGTACTACACCCGCTAACCTTTTTCATATACTAAGACGTCAGATTGCTTTGCCATTTCGCAAACCCTTAATCTTATGCACACCCAAGTCAGGTTTAAGACATCCTCTGGCTAAAAGTCCATTTTCAGATTTTACGGAATGTAGTGAATTTAAACGTTTAATTGAAGATAATGGTCCTGCTTCTAAGTCTCCCGAGGAGGTTACAAAACTAGTCTTCTGCACTGGAAAAGTATATTTTGAATTATTTAAAGCTAGACAAGATAAGAAAGCAGAAAAGGAGATCGCTTTGATAAGGATAGAACAGGTAGTGTTTCAATATTATTAAGTTTGTTATAAATTATTTATAAATTTCTTTATTTACAGATTTGTCCATTTCCTTATGATTTGGTTAAGGAGGAAATTTCTAAATATAAACATGCTGAAATACTATGGGCTCAAGAAGAACACAAAAATCAGGGTTGTTGGGAATATGTGCGACCACGTTTTGCCACTGCCATGGGTGAAGAAACTGATGAGTGAGTTCTTAAATCTAAATATATTTTAAAACATGCGTACATACATAGATAGGTTGCAAAATGGTTTTTTACCATTAAATTTCATTCATTTTATTAATTTTCCAATTTCATTTTAAAGTTTTAATTTAAAACAAAAATAAAAATTCAATTTTCAAGAAAAATTTTAGAATTTGTTCCAAATTAACTAAACATAACCACTTCATATTCTTGAACACAAACCTGTTGTCACTTCAATGTATTTTTCCTGAAACCACTTCTTTAGCACCAGGATCTATACTAGTTCCAAAACAATTACATGGAACCAGTTAAAAAATTAACAGAAATATTCGGCCTTCATCTATAAATTATTTTTTTATTAACACGATGAATATTTATAGAAATTTTGGTTAAGTTAGTTAGGTTAATAGAAGGATGTACACTAAATCAAATCGGAAGAAATATACCTAGGCCACTATCGGGCCTCTTCACGTAAAATGTGTGATCAATGAAGGTATTATTGTTTAATGTTTCCTATACGTAATTCCTAAAAATTTTCCAATCAGTGTTCTTGCGAGATGTTATATCCGGAATAATATTACTCCCAAGATATTTTGATCAAATTTCGACAAATATGTGACAATGACTGTTGTTTCCCCATATGTGCCATCATTCTAACCACAGACTTGTTCAAATTGAGGATGCTTCTCTTTATGCTGTCGTTACCATAGGATCTTTGTGGTTCTATCCACTATTTCATTATTCATAGAGGTCTTATGGGATTCTTTTCTAGCCCACATTTTTAATTCGGCCACTCACTCTTTCGTTGCCGAGTGGCCTGGTACCCATATAATACAAAGCTTACCTCTGTAAGAGTGTAAGCTTTCTTACAATCCAATACCGTCTTAGATTTAAGATTATCTCCTGATATTGTTCTAATTGTCTTTTGGCTGTCGTTAAATATATTAACCCCTGTTGGCCCCATTTTAATTCTAATCCAATTTAAGTATTCCGTTATTGATCGGAACGTCCCCTTTTATAGCATTTCATTCAATCAGACTGCTGCGTGTGTGCATAAAAGCCAAAAAGTACCAGTCATAGAACGTAGGTACCAAAAAGTTCCATTTTATAGATTCTAATTTACTCCTTGATCTACATGCCCAAATTTATGTTTCTAGGTTCAATATTATAGAATTTCAAAAAATACCTTTTGAAAAACGAAAAAGTACCAAAAAGTTCATTTTTATACACATGTTCTCACTTACTCCGGATACTACATGCTTAATTTCATGTTTCTGTGTTCTATATATTATAGAAAATTCAAAAAGTACTTTTTGAAAAACGAAAATGTACCAAAAAGTCCCATTTTATTGGTTCTCACTTACTCCGGGCTCTACATGCTTAATTTCATGTTTTTGTGTTCAATATATTATAGAAAATTCAAAAAGTACTTTTTGAAAAACGAAAATGTACCAAAAAGTCCCATTTTATTGGTTTTCACTTACTCCGGGCTCCGGGACATGCTTAATTTCATGTTTCTATGTTCAATATTATAGAAAATTCAAAAAGTACTTTTTGAAAAACGAAAATGTACCAAAAAGTGCCATTTTATTGGTTCTCACTAATTCCGGGCTCTACATGCTTAAGAACGAATAAGTACCAAAAAGTCCCCCTTTTATAGGTTCTCACTTACTCCGGGTTCTACATGCTTAATTTCATGTTCCTAACTAATAACAACACACCGCTTCATTCGTAACGTGTTGCTCTTGCTCTGCTTTGTTTTTATAAACAAGCAAGTACAAGAACAAAATTTACCGTTTGATTCTGTGTTTTGTTGTTGTTTCTTTATATTTTTGTCTCAGCATGCACCACAAATCTAAATTTTTTATGAAATTTTCAGAGGTTGTCTTGGACAAATTGTTGAAGATTTGGGTCACGAAGATATTTGGGGTCTCCCGAATATTGATTTCAACAAACAAACAAACAGACAGACGGACATAGCTTAATCGACTCGGAAATATGTATATACACTTTATAGGGTTGGAAAATTATATTATAGAAATTACAACAGAATGACAAACTTACATATGTATAGCCTTCTAACGAAAGTGAAGGTTATAATAAAACAATTAAGAAGTCTATATTCGCATTTGTCTATATTCACCCTAAGTTTTCCGACTCTACCATTACTTTAGCAATAACAGAAAAAAAACAACAACAATTAACGCCAAACGAAACAAAACAAAAAAAAAAAAAAAAACAAAATATGTATAAGTATAAGTATTTAAACCAACAATAGTTTTTTTCTAATAAGCAATGTTGTTGTTGCTTTTATGTCAAAGCTTCTCGAAAACATATCTTACAGAATTATCTGACAGATAGACGGATATGGCTTAATCGACTCCCCTATCTATAAGGATCCAGAATATATATAATTTATATGGGCGGAAAATTATATTATGGAAATTACAAACGGAATGACAAACTAACACACATATGAATATACACCTTGCTTGCTTGTCAGTATGTATGTATCTACTTTGTCTTTTTCACATGCAATATTTAACATCTTCAAATGTTCCTCGATTAATTTATAATTAGCCAATGTACTAGTCAGTAGATTAGTCGACAAACTATACTACATACATAGTAAGTATGTATGTATATAGAAAAAATTTCGAAAAAAATTTAAAGTCATATTAATAAATGAAAATTTTCTCACTTACCTTTAAAATTCCCACTGTGCGTGTTAGCTAATATCATTCAAATTCTTATACCTTATTAAAGAAAAAATATTAACGCCCGAACAGTTTCCCGTTTTATTTACTTTATTTACATTATGCGCAACTTGCCCTTTAGCATTACATTAAAAACAACAAAAAAACACTTGTTGTCAAATATAAACATTGCACTTTTTTATTTTTTGTTCTATTTGTACTTTTACTTTATGCTTTTCTTATTACTCTTACTTTCTCATGCTCTTCTTTCATAAAAAAGGAAAAAAAAAACAACAACACACATCAAATTTTAATGCAAATCACTGACACAAACTCCTATTTTTTTACTGTTTAATTTTCATTAAATCTTGTTTTTAACACTTAATTTTTATGATTTTTAATAGATTTCTTATTAGATTACTTTGTAAAGATAAATATATTAGGAATTTTATATTATTTAGATCACTTTTACTATAATTAAAATACGCTTAAAGATGGACTAGAAATTTTAACGTGTTTATTTAGTAGTAACTGCGTGAGAACTAAATAAATTCATTACTAAGGCAGAGTTGCCAATGAAGAGAAGAATTTGTTAGATATTAGGATTTCATTGATAAAGTGAGGATTTTAATGGGAAAATGAAACTAAGTATTTTATTGATACAATAACACTTGTCAAAATATAAATATTCCACTTCTTTCTTTATTGTTCTATTTCTACTTTTACTTTATGCTTTTCTTATTGCTCTGCTTTAATAAAGATTTTACTTTTAATTTCTCAAGCTCTTGTTTTTTTAAAAATGAAAAAACAACAATATACATTAAATTTAAATGCAAATCAAAAAGGGCTTTTGCATAAAAAACAATAACAACATTAAACAAACACCGGTAACTACAAGAACAACAAAGCAACAAGTGCAGACGCACTTATTTTAATTTCAGACTTTTTTGATTTATTTTCATTTAAACTTGATTTTAACACTTAATTGTTATAATTTTAAATAGATTTCTTATTTACTTTATTAAGATCCTTTTTTTAGGAATTTAATAAGATTTAGAACACTTTTACTATAATTAAAATACACTTAAAGACGGACGACAAATTATAACGTGTGAATTTAGTAGTAACTGCGTGAGAACTAAATAAATTCCTCACTAAGGCAGAGTTGCCAATGAAGAGAATAATTTGTGAGATAGCAGGATTTCATTGATAAAGTTAGGGTTTTAATGGGAAAAGGGAAAATGAAAGTAAGGAATAAACATTGCACTTTTTTTATTACAATTGCAGACACACTTATTTTAATTTGGACAAAGAAAAGTTAATATTTTTTGTGATTTTGTGAGAAATCTTAGGGATTGTATTTATTTATTAGTTAGTAATTAAAAAACATAAGTTGTCTGCAAGTGATTTTCTTCAATTCGGGCAACTCTACTACCCTTTGGCATTACACTAAAAACAACAAAAACACTTGCTGTCAAAATATAAACATTGCACTTTTTTATTTATTATTCTATTTCTACTTTTTCTTTATGCTTTTTTTTATTGCTCAGCTTTAATTAAGATTTTACTCTTATTTTCTCATGTCCTTCTTTCATAAAAAAGAAAAAACAACAACAAACACCAAATTTAAATGCAAATCACTGACACAAACTTCTGTAAAGGGCTTTATTTTTTTTCACTGATTGATTTTCATTAAATCTTGATTTTAACACTTAATTATTATAATTTTTAATAGACTTCTTATTAGATTACTTTAATAAGATAAATATTTTAGGAATTTTATAAAATTTAGAACACTTTTACTATAATTAAAATACACTTAAAGACGGACGACAAATTTTAACATGTTTATTTAGTGGTAACCGCGTGAGAACTAGGGTTCTATAGTTGAAACGAAAAGTCGACTTTTCGACTTTTCGACTTTTTGCATTTAGTTAAAAGTCGACTTTTCGACCTTTCGACTTTTTCCATTTTATGAAAAGTCGATTTTTCGACTTTTCGACCTTTTTCATTTATTTAAAAGTCGACTTTTAGACTTTTCGACTTTTAGTATTTTATAAATGGTCGACTTTTCGACTTTTTCCGACTTTTTTCGACTTTTCGACCTTTCGACTTTTTCCGACTTTTCGACTTTTTTCGACTTTTTTCGACTTTTCGACTTTTTTCGACTTTTCGACTTTTTTCGACTTTTCGACTTTTTCCGACTTTTTTCAACTTTTCGACATTTTCCGACTTTTCGATTTTTTACGACTTTTTGACTATTTTCGACTTATTTCGACTATTTTTTACTTTTTTCGAGTTTTTCCGACTATTTTAGAGTTTTTGACCTCTTTTCCACTTTTTTAAAATTTTCGAATATTTTCGACTTTTCGACTTTTTCCGACTTTTCGACTTTCTCCGACTTTTCGACTTTTTTCGACTTTCTTCGACTTATCGACTTTTTTCGACTTTTCGACTTTTCGACTTTTTTCGACTTTCCGACTTTTCGACTTTTTTCGACTTTTATTTACAAAGTCGACTTTTCGACTTTTTTCATAGACGATAGTCGAGTTATCGACTTTTTTGGAACAAAATAGTCGACTTCGACTTTTCGACTTTTTTCGACAAAAAGTCGATTGTTCGATTATTCGAAAGTCGATTTATAGAACCCTAGTGAGAACTAAATAAATGAAATTCTAAGGCAGAGTTGCCAATGAAGAGTGTAATTTGTTAGATAGCAGAATTTCATTGATAAAGTTAAGATTTTAATGGGAAAAGCGAAAATGAAAGTTTTATGGATAATATTGGGAATTTAATGGGAAAAGAAATGTTAGTACTTTTTGTGATTTTGTGAGAAATTTTTGGGATTGTATTATTAAATCGGCCAATGAAAAAAGGAATTTGTAAGATATAAAGATTTCATTGAAACATTTAGGATTTTTATGGGGAAGGGAAAAGAAAAGTAAGGATTTTATTAATAAATTTTGAAGTTTAATGGGCAAAGAAAAGTTTATATATATATACAGATATATATTAGGCTTCGTTTCAAAAAATAAAATGTTTCCTGTTTTTGTGATATCACAACTTTTAAGAAGGGTTTTGTATCAGTGTTCACAATACTGTAATAATTTTTCCAAAATTCCAACTCCTTCATCTGCATATCTGAGGCGGAAACCACTGATTTTGAGCGACATTTTTTACAGAGCAGAATGTACAGGATTAATAACAAATCATGCTTTAATAATTGATTTTATAGGACAAATCGGTAAGAATGAGCTGAAATGCACACTTTTATAATGCTCCAAAAGTGCATTTAGAATTATCCAAAGATGCACTTTTTTAAAAAAATATTTCAAACATTTTTTTTTTCTTTACGCATAATCAAAGTATGCTTTCTGCTGAAAAAAGTGGTGCAAAAACTATCTGCTATCATTAACCCTTTAGATGTGATGAGACTTTAAATTTTCAGATTTTAAACTTTACAACGCTATATTTCGAAAACCAGGAAAGTTATAAGGGCCAAAATTTGTCATTATACAAGTTATATAGGGAACATTAATTGGGTGGAGCTTTATTAAATTCGGAAGTGATGATGAAAAACACCATTGTTTGATGGGAAATTATTAACCGACAAGTTAACATTATAACCATCATAAATCCTAAACGGATTACAATAAATTAAAAATTTTAACACAATTTTTTTAAGGGCATTGAATATTATATTTTCGAATGATAAAATCAATTTTTGATTTCTTTTTTTTTTTTAAATTGCATTTTTTCTTTTGCTCTTATGCATTTATAGTGCATCCAAATTCTGTCAAATTAAGTTTATATATCTTAAATTTTCCTGTAGAATAGTATACTAAAGTCGGATTTGAAGTATATTCAGCAGTTTTTGGTCTATCAAAAAATGTCGCCCAAAATCGGTCTTTTGGCCGCAGATATGCAGATGAAGGAGTTGAAATTTAAAAAAAATAATTACGCCAATATTAGTGCTGATCCAAAAACATTCATAAAAGGTATGATATCACAATTTCATAAATATTGCGTGAAGCCTAATATATGTATATGTTTTATTTTTGATTTTGTCAGAAACCTTAGGGATTGTATTTATTTGTTAGTAAAAAACTTAAGTTGGGTGCAAGTGATTTTCTTCAATTCGGCAACTCTACTGCCCTTTTGCATTGCACTAAAAACAACAATAACACTTGCTATCAAAATACAAACATTGCATTTTTTCCTTATTGTTCTATTTCTACTTTTACTTTATGCTTTTCTTATTTCTCTGCTTTAATAAAGATTTTACTCTTGTTTTCTAAAGCTCTTCTTTCATAAAAAAAAACAACAACACATCAAATTTAAATGCAAATCACTCACATAAGCTTCGGTATAAAGGGATTTTGCATAGAAAAAACAACAACATTAACAAACACCGGTAACTACAAGAACAACAAAGGAACAAACGACGCACTTATTTTAATTTGAGACTTATTTTCTTTTTCACTGATTGATTTTCATTAAATCTTGATTTTAATACTTAATTATTATAATTTTTAATAGATTTCTTTATTATGATAAATATTTAAAGAATTTTTAAGATTTAGAACACTTTTACTATAATTAAAATACACTTACAGACGGACGACAAATTTTAACGTGTTAATTTGGTGGTAACCGCGGGAGAACTAAATAAATTCTTTTCTAAGGTAGAGTTGCCAATGAAGAGAGGAATTTGTTAGATAGAAGGATTTCATTGATAAATTTAGGATTTTAATGGGAAAAGGGTAAGGATTTTATCGATAAAATTTGGAGTTAGCTAGTTAGTCATAGTTTGGTTTTACCTTCCCTCTAAAGCTAGTAAACTCTCTTCCCTTCCCGACTACTCCCTACTACTATTTAACCTTATCTTCTGCTATCGCCCTAATTGTCTTCTGACTGTCTAGAAATGTGTGAAATGTGTGGATTTATTCTAATCCATATAGGAAGCTAGTGTTGTGAATAGGTTGCCGTATAAATATTTTTGTTACTGGGCCTTCACTACCCCCAGGCCACTTTTTCCATAGTTTAGGGTCATCCGTGTTGCAACGGATTGCTCTAATGTTTCGCTTGACCATGACATACTATCAGAGATCATTGATTCAAAGTTCCCTATATATTCAGACTGTGTTGTGTGCGATCGATCATGAATCGTTCGGTTGTAAGTGCTGTCTAATTTCTTATGTATGTATATCTCAACGTTTCCAGAGCCTTGGTTTACGTTATGCTCATGGCACCACTTATACCCAAGCAACATGTACGCTGAACTCACTGTAGTGGTTCTATGTTATACTTTCTGTCCAAAAAAGTCTACCGGATTATTGAAGCATTATTTATAATTGTCATATTAGGACTAAGGCCACATTTCCTGCCTATGGTTCTTCTACATAGCGCTCAGCATCTATGTGCCTTGTTGACTTTATGTAGAGCCACCATTTTCTTTGCAATTTTTTATGATGTTTGGTACAATTTTAAAAATTTCATTAGCCGTCTCTGGTCTTAGATGTTCAATATTTATGTTTATACTAATATTTAAATTTACATGTGTTTTGAATATAATCGTTAATATTGTTTTAAATGGTTCTACACATACATATAATTTATTAAATATTTTAAATTAAAGCTATTTTGCATTAAACAACAAACATATTTCACATTTCAAAAGAATTCCCATTATGTTTGGGCACAGTGT